GTTGCCCCCCCCCCCCCCTCCCCCTCCCCCGCGCCCCAAGAGCTTTAACGCCCTGGGGGTTTAGGGGTTACATAGGGTTTATTAGGGCTTAGGGTTTAGCGTTTAGAGAGACAACTCGGACAGACAGTCCTTCTCATCGCCCGTGACTGCATCCTGCCACATGCGTGGTTCAACAGCTGCAAATACTCTAAGTCGAGAATTTAAGAGCGAATGCAGGACATCATCTGGTACCGATGTACCAGATTCCGCCCTAGCACGAAACTCACTCGCCCTGGCCCTAAAACCCTAAACCCTAACCCCATGTCACAGCGCAGGCGGCACTCTAAGATGCCACGGGATCTTTGAAATCTCCTACGTAAGTAGCGTTCTGAATGCCCGAACGACTGTGCTCAAAAAAACTACATCTGCTCCACTTCAGCTGGCTTTTAGGGTTTAGGGTTTAGGGCTACTCCAAAATGGGATCCCATGCTAGCCCAAAAAGGGGCCCAAAAGCGGGTAGAGGTTCATCCCATATGGGCCTGAACAATTACAATATGCATTTGAGGTTTAGGGTTAGGGATTAGGGTTCAGGGTTAGGGTTTAGGGTTTGGGATGCAAGGAATCCAAGACCGTTCTTTTGATAATTGCAAGGCTTCTGCAGCACCCCCTGCTACTTCCGGTCCTGCTCGCTATCCTTCTCGCTGTCCTTCTCGCTGTCCTTCTCCTGCGGAGTTAGAACCCAAAGACATGCTAAGTGTTCAGGGGTTTAGGGTTTCGGGCTGAGGGTTCTCTAACCCTAAACCCTAAACCCTAAACCCTAAACCCTAAACCCTAAACCCTAAAGCCCCCAGATCCTAAGTCCCTAGACTCTAGGCCCCTAGACCGCCAAGCCTCGAACCCCAAAGGGTTTATAGGGTTTAGGGTTTAGGGTTTGGGGCTAGAGGGATTAGAGGGGCGCAACCTTTTCTTCAGGGCTCAGGGATCTAGGGTTTAGGGTTAAGGGTTTAGGGCTGTGGGGATCAGGGGTTTGGCAGGTGTCTTCAAATCAGAAGGCTCTCTCAAATTTCCCAACAATGCGCGAGTTTTTTGGGCTTTAGGGTGTCGAAGCCGGGGGTTTAGAGTCGATGTGCTAAGGTGCTGGACCTTCAAGGTCCAAGGGTCGTCTTGGTCTTCGGGGTTTGCGCGAAATCTCGACCCAGAAGCCCCTAGACCTAACGTCTCAAAGCAGGAACCTTAAGCCCCTGAACCCTGAAACTTAGGGGCTGAAAACCCCATCCCAAAAAAGGCTAGCCTTCTAGTAGGATTCTATATAACCAGAAAGGTTAAAGGTTACCTACCCAGTTCCTAAGGAAACCTCCACAAATCTTGCAACGGGTAGCAGCGGTGGGGCTTGTGCCCAAATCTGCACCTCGGCGCGCCACTTTGGACCAGTAGCCTTACGCAGCGGCGGACACACAGGAGGAGGAGCAGGAGACGCGTTTCTACACATCTCCGACTCTAAACCCGCCAGCCGAGCATCCATCTTCCCAGACCTAAACCCTAAACCCTAAACCCTAAACCCTAAACCCTGAACCCTAAACCCTAAACCCAGCCACAGCTGGTTCATCTGCTCATCCAGGCGGCTCATACGCCTTCAGCGCTGGCTGTTGGTTTTCCATGCTTGTTTGCTGCGGCCTTTGCCGGTTCTTAGTAGGGAATGAGGCACCCTATATCCCCCTAAATATATGGTTCAAGGCGGGAACTCAGCCGCTGCGTTTTTGAGGTTTTACTGCAGCGACTTCCCGCCCTCATAAAAGAAAAATACTCTTAACAACCTTCAAATCCCATATTTCGTGCCGAGATGTGCTGTTTGTGCATATTTGTGCAATATTTAAGAGATTAGTACCAAACTATATTTTTTGCGGGTATATGAAGCGCACGTTTGCTTTTGCAAGCCTTCCACGCTGAATCATCGGTGCTTCTGTCGAAGCAGTGACGAAATGTCAGGCCATTGGCCTAACTAACTACGAAAAGTCGGGCCATGTTCTTGAAGCCAACTGTTGTGATATTTCCACGGTCGAAGCATTTCGGTGACTGTGTCTTCAACAAGTTTCGCGTCTGGTACTCGTTCAAAATCAGACGCCACTTGCGCCTATCCGAATGGTTTGGAAGGTGGCCAGACATTCGGTGCCTTACCCACCTCTTGATGAGACTCCATTTGGCCTCAATGGGATTTGTGGTGAAACCGTTCTGGTTTTTAATTTCGCCTTCACTGTGGTTGACAATTTCGTGCGGCAAGTCCTCCGTGGAGATACGTTTGCTTTTCCGAAAGGCTTTCATGGCTGAGACTGTCGCTTTCCATTTGTCGCTCACGAAGACATCGTGCTTTTGCAGCCCCAAGCTTTCGATGTTGCACAACATCTCCTTGTGCCCGCGCGGCTTGCCATCGTAAGAGTCATCTGGATGTTCAAGGACTCGAAACAAAAAATGAGTTTGCACATGGCCTTCAAGCACCGCACCCCATAGCCAAATCTGATCACGCTGAGGCCGACTGTGTTTGGCTAGGACGCTAGGCTTGCGTTTGTTGAGATGCGTTTCATCCGCTATGAAGACACGGCCTGAAGTCTTTTGTTTCAGGCTAGGCTTTTTCAACACTGGTTTTGCCGACGAAGATGCCCCCAAAGATCGTTTCGAAGACTTCGCTGACGCTGGTCTCTTGGAAGATGCGCCACATGATGCTGGTTTGCGAAACAGTGAAGGCGATGTTGGTGTCAGGGCTTGGAAGATAGGACTCTCGAAGCCATCACGTGTATGAAGGTCGAACCATGCACTCACAGTCTCTTGGAATGACGATATCCAAAGGTCGATGCTTTCATGGGTCACGGGGTGTAGCTCTCGAATGATTTGTTGACGAGTGTATTCTTGAGTCCACATGAACAAGCAATCGAGCTTGGCAAGCCATAAGGTTGACTTGACGCCGTGAAGAAAGCCGATGGAACCAACTGCATATTCTTGTGCATCACACTCATGACACCCTTGATTGTAACGAGGACCATACCATTTGTAGACGCCAGCCTTGACGCAGAGCTTGAAGGGCGACGAACAATTTGCACACATACGGGATGAGGGAACCAGATTTAGAGCTTGGCACGTCAACAAGGCTCGAGTAGCTGCTGTGCTGGTAGATTTCCGCATGTCTGAACGTGACTATGTTTCACCAGGCAAAGAAACTCGGTCCGATGGAGGAAATCTGCTGTCAGGACCGCTTCTCTAAAGGCGATCCAATCAACGTAGGACGCCATTCGGGACAGATTTGCAAACTACTGCTTGCCAAAACTTGAAGCATCAACACAAACAACATCATGGATTTCCTCATGCAATTAAGAGTTTCGGCATAGGCAGTCGCATAAAACACGCAGCACTGCAAGCAGCATCGATGCTTGGGTGTTTTTTCTCTCGCGAGGTGCGACGGTGTGCGTGTGTGTGCGTGTGACTTAACACAAACCTGCACGCCTGCTATGTGTGTGCAGCATGTTGCTCGAGCAGAACCGACTCGGGAGAAGCGATTCAGGACCTGCAGTTCCCGAACTCAAAATGCTTTGGAGTCGTCAGGCATTGTGAAGATCTACTCATCCGTGTCCATTTGGTCCATGAGTTCCTCCAGTTCCTGCTCCAGCTCATCCGGTTGCTGGCCCACTGCAGGCATGATGTCATCGTCAACATCATGCTCTAAAAAACTTGGGTTTAGAGGAGCTGATGAAGAGGCCGGTGTTGCGATCTTAGCACGCTTGGGCATTGGCGAGGTAGAGCTGGCACTGTCAAACTTCTTTGGAGAAGGTGATTCCAAGTTGATGGTCTGGAGCGGACCCTTCTTGAGTGTTCGGAAAGCATGAGCAACCTGGGAACTTTCGTCTCAAAATGAAAAATATCCCTTTATACGACCTTCTCTACTTATCTTTATTTTTCATAAACACCCCACCCACCCACCCACCTGTTCTTGCTTGACTTTCACATGGAGCTCATCGGGACGAAGAAGCGACGGATGAGACTGCACAGCAGTCCTATCAAAGCGAAGGTTCAGTACATTCAGCATACAAATAAGCAGCCGAGGGAATACTCAGTTTTTTTAAACGTTAAGGTCGAAATGCAGAAACGGTCCTTTCAGCGTGGACGCCAAAGAGACTGGAACCGAGTACTGTGGAGCTGCGAGGAATGCTCTCACCATTGAGTACACGACGAAGAAGCTCTTGGGACCATGCGAGATCTCCAAAGTACTGTTGTGGGTATTTGTGGAGATGCGGGTTCATCTTGTACTGTTTGAGGATCGTGTGCTGCGAGGGGGCGAGTAGGTCCTTGGGATCAGTGCCCCACTCGATGAAATCCACAGGATCTTTCGATGTACCAGCAACGCGGTAGTAGACACCTGAGTCCGTGAGGAGTACAAGATGGGTTCTGGCAAGGATGGCATCCATGTCCTCATCTTCGTCCACAGCTAAGAAGGAAGGCTTAATCATGTCGAGGAACTTGGCATGGGGAACTGACCAAATCTTGGATTTCTGCATGCTTGCGAAGAGTTCTTCATCTATGGCTCGGTTGTACGGATTGTTGCACGCATGACGGCCTGCGCCTTGATCAAACTGAGCAGATGAGTACCTTGCCCACACGGTGGCGTCTTCCTCCTAAGGTTTTGGCTCACACGTCAACATGCTTATTCAAAAGGGAAACACGTTTTTATATATCATACAACTTTTCTTTCATTTTTACCTTCATAGTTTAAATGAGTGACTGAAGGGTTCAGGAATGCCTTCAAGAAGGACGCGTCCATCTTTTGAAGCATGCCATCGTCGAACACTCCAGGCTTGAATTTCGTGAGGGGTTCGGCCTTGAAGAAGTCAAGATGCTTGGCCGTCACGATTGATGGAACAAGGTCAGAACGCTCGGCTAGGTCGATCTCAAATTTGGACTGCATGAAAAGTATGGTTTTGGATGACACCGACTTGCCTGTTCGGGTTCGACCGATCCATGTGATGGCATTCTGCCGCATGGTTGGCAACATCTTGATCAGGACTTTGTCGAGAAACCAAGGTACGAAACTCTTGAACGTGAAGGGCCAAAACTCCAGGGTCTTGGCGTTTTGGCGGCCTTTCATGTAATTGTTCAAAGCTTCCTTCACCTTGGCTTCTGGCCAATTTTCGAGCTTTCCACCAGGAGTGTGGATTTGCTCATCCGTCCACTCCATGAACTGGTTCTTGTTGTTGCTCCTAGGACCACAGTCGCGAATGAAGGCATAGCCATCCGCGCGCTGGTGCTGGTCCAAGGTGAGTTTTTTTTCGAACTTGGGTTTGATGATCCAGTGCCTTAATTGCCGACCACCCATGCGATCCAACATGTAGTTCAACCCAGCCAGACCCAGCCGAGTGTTGTTGCCCCAGTCGAACCTCATGGGTGTGCCATAGCACATTGCTACGCAATCTTTTGATGGCACCTTGTTGCGATGCAGGTAGACATGCTTCACGATGTGGACGTAATCGGCACTCGGTTCCGAGTTTGCCGGGGAAGACGCGGGCAGAATGATGATCTGCATGGTGTAGGGAACGGTTGGTTCCTTTCGCAAGCAGAACGGATGAGGAAGTTGGGCATATTTGGTTTCATAGCAAGTCTGGTAGATGGTGTCGAACATGCTGTTGGTCACAGTCAGCTTCTGGTCTAAGAGTACGTCTGCGAATTGCTCGATTTTGGTTGGATTAGACTCGAGGTGGCGAATCGGCAGATCGCAGACGCGAACGTCACCAGTGGCACGGTCCGACTTCAGAGGTTTGTTCTCTGGACCTTGTAGTTTTTGGCCGGAAACGTGTGCGCATGCTTCGTCGAATGTGAGCGTTCCGTCTTGGATCTCTTGGTCCGCCGTGTAACTTCCCATGATACGCACAATTGGGATGCTACGAGACTTTTACTAGAGCAAGAAGCCAAAAGACCTGCCAGATCATGCGTTTGGACGTGAGTGCACGGCTCATAGGGACAACTGGGACACCGAAACCAAACAAATAGTCCCCAAAAACCAATTTCCACAAAACCAAAAAAACCAATACCAAAAAAACCAAAAAAACCAAAAAAAAATTTCCGGGACTTTTGATGCGTAAGCGTATTTCCACAGCTTTCACAGAGTCCCGGAAAATTGTTTTTTTTGGTTTTTTTGGTTTTTTTGGTATTGGTCTTTTTGGTTTTGTGGAAATTGGTTTACTGGGCTTTTTGTGTTGATTTGTTCGATTGTCGGTGTTCCTGTTCTCCCAAGAGTATTGCAAAATGTATTGTTTGTGGGTTTTGCCTATATTTGGCAATTCTGGTCCGATCAATGAAACCCCAAAAACGCAGCGGCTGAGAAACCGCTTTGAACTAAAAAAAAAATAAATAAATATATATATATATATATATATATATATATATATATGGTACCCCCCCCCTCCAAAACCCCACGTCTCAGGTCACCAATTCGCAGATTCCCAGATTTGTAGCCCCAACCAATCTGCAAATCTGCGAATCTGCGAAACCTCGAGAAAACGCAGATTCGCAGATTCGCAGATTTGTAGCCCCCAACCAATCTGCAAATCTGCGAATCTGCGTTTCCTCGAGAAAACGCAGATTCGCAGCAGATTCGCAGATTTGTAGCCCCAAACCAATCTGCAAATCTGAGAATCTGCGTTTCCTCGAGAAAACGCAGATTCGCAGATTTGAAATCTGCGTTTTTCTCGAGAAAACGCAGACTTGAAATCTGCGTTTTTCTCGAGAAAACGCAGATTTGCAGATTTGGAATCTGCGTTTTTCTCGAGAAAACGCAGATTCGCAGATTCGCAGATTTGTAGCCCCCAACCAATCTGCAAATCTGTGTTTTTCTCGAGAAAACGCAGATTCGCAGATTTGTAGCCCCAAACCAATCTGCAAATCTGCGAATCTGCGTTTCCTCGAGAAAACGCAGATTCGCAGATTTGAAATCTGCGTTTCCTCGAGATTGGCAGATTTGCCTCTTTATGTCACAGATCAAATCATCTGGTGGCCTCAAAAATCTGCTATTCAAATAGGGGCCTTCGTACTTCGACTATGTAATTCGGGGCGGAGAATTAAGTACTTTAAATATTTTAAGAAATAGAGGAGCTTTCATATTTAAATAGAGGCCTTAATATCTAAATTACTGAATTCGGGAGGGACTTAAATGCCACTTAAATATGTAAAGAGATAGATTAATAATTTACATAATTTAAATCCTGAAAAAGGGCCCCGGTCCCCTCTAGCAAGGAGAATTAGAGAATGAACAAATTTAAATCTGAGGGGGGTGCCTTCAAATTTAAATAGGGGCCTCATATGTAAATTGTGTGATTTTTTGTTTCCCCCCACAAGGAAGGAGCTGCCCCCCCCCCCCCCCCCCCCCCAAGATTTGGATTATCTAAAATATAAATTCTCCCCCTGAACTAAATAATGTAAATATGGAAGGGTCTTCATATTCAAATAGGGGCCTTCGTGTTTAAATATTCACCGAGTGTATGCAAGTTCATGTGAAGGGGGCTTCATATTTGATTCATTGATTCGGGGAGGGGACTTAAATAAATTACATAGATTATAGAAAGAAACTAGTTTGAACAATTAAATCCTGAAAGAGGGCCTAGCAGGGGGAACCTCAGAAGCAGAGAGCGCCCCCCCCCAACCCCCCGCCCTCCCCCGTCCAGGATTTAAATTATTTAACTTATTTACATTAACGTGTTTGAAATATTGAAATCCTACAAGGGGGGCCTGGCCCCCTCCCACCGGGGGAATTCAATCATTTAAATCTGAAGGGGCCTTCATATTTAAATGGGGATCTTCATATAAAAAATAAGCTGTTTCATTCCCTCCAGAAGGGGGGAGCTCCCACCCCCCCCCCCCCCCCCCATTTCTTCGGATTTAATGTATTTAAACTATTTAGATTGTAATTATTTAATTCTCCCCCCCCCACCCCCCAAAGTAAATAATTAAATGTGGAAGGGCCTTCAATGTTTACATTACTTAATTCGGGGAGGAGAATTAGATAAAGTAAGTATGGAGGGGCCTTCATATACAAATAGAGGCCTTCATTCTTATATTATCAAATTCGGGGAGAGTGTTTAATCAAATCATTTAAAAAATTTCATATTTCTTCTTCTAATATTTTAAACAGTTTAATAAATCCTGATGGGGGGGGGGGGGGGGGGGGGGGGGGGGGGGCTGGCCCCCTCCCGCGAAGGGGAAGTGAAAAAAAAGAAGAGAGAATTTAAATCTGAAGGGGCCTTCATGTTTCAATAGGGGGCTTCATATTTAAAGTATTGAAATCCCCTCAGAAGGAAGGAGCTGTCCCCCTGCCTTTCAGGATTGAAAGTACTTAAAATCTCATTAATTTAATTAGCTTAATTAATTTAATTAGATTAATTAATTTAGTTAGTTTTTTTGTTTATTTTAACTATTTAATTCTCCCGCCCGCTTTAAATAAATTAAAGCCACCCTTTCAGGATTTACACAATTTAGTTCTTTAAATGCACCATGTCGAAGCCTGTCATAGGAAACATCGATTCTCGCCGAGCTTTGTTTCTTAAACGTGGGGTTTTGGAGGGGGGGGGGGTAGCATATATATATATGTACGAGGAACCTTCCTGTATTATGTGACCATGCGTCTTTTCTGAACTTTCAAACGGGGGTTCGAATAGTTTGAATGGTTTGGGGGCCCGGCCTGGGGTCCCCAAACTATTCGAACTATTCGAACTATTCTAAACTATTCGAACTATTCGAACCAGAGGGGTTCGAATAGTTCGAATAGTTTGGGGGCATGGCCTGGTGCCCCAAACTATTCGAACTATTCGAACCAGATGGGTTCGAATAGTTTGGGGGCCCGGCCTGGGGCCCCCAAACTATTCGAACTATTCGAACTATTCGAAACTATTCGAACTATTCGAACCAGAGGGGTTCGAATAGTTCGAATAGTTTGGGGCCCGGCCTGGTGCCCTAAACTATTCGAACTATTCGAACTATTCGAACCAGGGGGGTTCGAATAGTTCGAATAGTTTGGGGGCCCGGCCTGGTGCCCTAAACTATTCGAACTATTCGAACTATTCGAACCAGGGGGGTTCGAATAGTTCGAATAGTTTCGAATAGTTCGAATAGTTTGGGGCGTGCCCGGGGAGACCAGTTTGGGAGGAAGGGGGTTCGAATAGTTCGAATAGTGTGGGGGCCCCAGGCCGGGCCCCCAAACTATTCGAACTATTCGAAGCTATTCGAACTATTCGAACCCCCCTGGTTCGAATAGTTCGATTAGTTCGAATAGTTTGGGCGCGAGGGCTGGTGCCCCAAACTATTCGAACTATTCGAACTATTCGAACCAGGGGGGTTCGAATAGTTCGAATAGTTTCGAATAGTTCGAATAGTTCGAATAGTTTGGGGGTTGCCCGGGGAGACCAGTTTGGGAGGAAGGGGGGTTCGCATAGTTTGAATGGTTTGGGGGCCCGGCCTGGGGCCCCCAAACTATTCGAACTATTCGAACTATTCGAATTATTCGAACCAGGGGGGTTCGAATAGTTCGAATAGTTTGGGGGCGAGGGCTGGTGCCCCAAACTATTCGAACTATTCGAACTATTCGAACCAGGGGGGTTCGAATAGTTCGAATAGTTTCGAATAGTTCGAATAGTTTGGGGGGTCCCCGGGGGGACCAGTTTGGGAGGAAGGGGGGTTCATCGAATAGTGTGGGGGCCCCAGGCCGGGCCCCCTAAACTATTCGAACTATTCGAAACTATTCGAACTATTCGAACCAGGGGGGTTCGAATAGTTCGAATAGTTTGGGCGCGAGGGCTGGTGCCCCAAACTATTCGAACTATTCGAACTATTCGAACCAGGGGGGTTCGAATAGTTCGAATAGCTTCGAATAGTTCGAATAGTTCGAATAGTTTGGGGGGTCCCCGGGGGGACCAGTTTGGGAGGAAGGGGGGTTCGAATAGTTCGAATAGTGTGGGGGCCCCAGGCCGGGCTCCCAAACTATTCGAACTATTCGAACTATTCGAAACTATTCGAACTATTCGAACCAGGGGGGTTCGAATAGTTCGAATAGTTTGGGGGCCCGGCCTGGAGGCCCAAACTATTCGAACTATTCGAACTATTCGAACTATTCGAACCAGGGGGGTTCGAATAGTTCGAATAGTTTGGGGGCGAGGGCTGGTGCCCCAAACTATTCGAACTATTCGAACTATTCGAACCAGGGGGTTCGAATAGTTCGAATAGTTTCGAATAGTTCGAATAGTTCGAATAGTTTGGGGGGGGCCCGGGGAGACCAGTTTGGGAGGAAGGGGGGTTCGCGCCGGCCTGGGGCCCCCAAAATTCAAAATTTGCCGGAATCCCCTTGGCACCCTGCAAAAGTCCCGCAAATACCGCACAAAACGGGAACGGGTAGGAACAACTTTGCGGGTCGAAATTT